ACACACACACACACACACACACACACACACACACACACACACACACACACAAACAAACAAACAAAAACAAACACATACACAAACTCGCACGCTAACACACATTTACATAATGCTATTAAACAACTCGAAGTTCTGTAAAAGCCCTGAGAATCTTTTCTTATACCAGAGATTCATTGTGAACTAAGAGGTTAGTTTAAAATTTGTGTTCTCCAACTATAACAGATGACACTCTTGTACTTGAATTGTCAGAGGCCAGCCGATTGGCTCCAAAAAAGGGACTGAATTTCAAACTAAAGTGCGCATGAAGATGATGATCTGCTGCCTGAATAGCCAGATGGCCGTAGAATGGTTCCAAATAAGGGAGTTAGTTTCAAACTAAAGTTTGCACGAACGTTTAATCGCTGATTTTCTATCTCGCACCTGAATTGCCAGAGGACAGTCGAATGGTTCCATCCGTCTGATCACATCCCCACTCAACTGCACGTGAAGCGAGTTACCGGGAATACCCAGCTGGAGACATATTTTTTGCGCGGATGTGGAGAGATTACACGGGAACAGTCGTGCGTGGGTGTCTCCCTCAGAAGCAAACACGCGGATGAATCTGTGGGTGAATAGCGATATATGTTGAAGAAACCACCACAAGCAACAAAAAAAACAACAACAACAAAAAAAACACAAAAAAAACACACCAAAAAAACATATATATATATATATATTATTATAATAGTATATGCATAGAATAGGTATATTCCGGCGGCGAGCCAGAAGAGACAATTTAATGTCCACTTTGACCAAAATGCCCAAACAATATTTTTTGGGAAAAAGAACATAATAGATTCCAGAGGTCATTCTCTTTCTCTGCTTTTTATTTTTTTGGAAAAGGAACATAATGGAGGTATTCATACTATACGGCATCATGTCTGTAAATATCAAACCAATAACATGGAATAAGACGAGTTGACTATTTAAAACGTTTCACCCCCACCTGCAAACAGAAGGACGGGGGTGGGGAGTGAAGTGTATGCTCTTCTTTTAGTCCATGTTTCCCAGACAGGCAGAGTCAAAGCACACCTTAATCAATATTGAGACGATGAAAGAGTAAAAACACTAGGTCATGCATAAAGAAAATACAAATTAAAAATCCACCAAGGGTATTCTGAGAGTAG